AGCAGGTATCCTCAGCCCACTATTATAAGGTGGGTAAGAAAAGAGCAGATAATTTGTCTCTCATTTAGGTGTTTAGACAAAGCAGAACTGTACTTGATGAGAATACTGAAGGAACGCCTCTAAAGGAGACTCATTTGCATCTGAACTTGACAAAAATGACAAAAATCTGGATTTCCAATTGATGCTGTAATGGCATGAGACTTTTGATGGTCCTAGGAGAAGGCAAGCGTATTGTGCATGCAGGATAGATATAAATCATTGGGGTCAGGAAGGCAGGTTATGTTAGCCAGCCTCCAAGATGGCTCTCACCTCCTAGTAGTCATACCCCAGACACAGATGTCTCAGGCTTCTGAGATGAGGTAATAAAAAGCACTATGGCTTCTGCATTGTTCTCTCTTAGATCACTTGCTCTAGAAGAAGCCAGCTGCCATGTCATGAGGACAGATCCACATCATGAGGAATTTTTGGTAAAACCATGAAGAAAACCAATGGCCTGTTCGTGGCAGTCTGCATTACGGGCTAGCAAATATTCACTGTGCCTCCCTTCACTGCGAAGGGAGTGGACTTCCCTGCCCGACTGAAGTTGGACTTGGCCATGTGATTGCTCTGGGCAGTGGGATGTTAGTAACCATGACATGAGTGGTGCTGTGAATGTGCTTGTGCTGCTGTCTGATGTAGCTCTCACACTTCAATGAGCTGCTAGGAGACTATGCCCCACGGAGACTCCGATCTAAGTAGGATGAGAGATATGTGGAACAGCCCTGGATCACCCTGTGGCCTGGAGCCACACCCAGCTAACCCACAACCTGAAGGAGAGCCACCCCACCAAGCCCAGCTTTTATTAGTGCAAAGCAGGTTAACCTGTGGACCATGACAGTGAGCTAAATGTTGAGTTTAAAGCAATATGTGGTATTTTTTTGTGGCAATATGTGGTATTTTTTCATGGCAACAACTGATTAATACAGTAAACAAAAGCAAATTCAAGAAGGGAAAGGAGAGAATGTAATCAGGGCTTCAAAGTATTGGTGAGTGAAATCTTTCTTTTCCAAGCCAACTGGTAGCTTCACAAATGTTCACCACATCACTATTCTTTAAAGGATACACATCCCCATTATACATACACTGTCATGTATAATTTTTTTCACAGTTAAAAATAAGAGAGTGAAGGAGGAGTTTGGGCCCATGGCCTCAACGAATTCTATGCGCTAAAAGGGAGGTAGTTTAAGAGCAGGTGGGCAGACCAAAAAGGCCGGTGCAAAATGAGGATGGAGGGGGCTGGGAGGAGTGGAGTGCAGAGACGGATAAAGCCAGTGCAAAACTGATAAGACAGTGGTTGCATCTGGATGGTAGACTATTAGGAGATTTTATTTTCTTCTTCATCATTCCCTGGATTTCCCAAATTTTCTACAATGAACATATATGACTTTCATAATCAGAGAAAAGAACAATGTACTGGCTGACACAGGTGGAAACTCCCCAACAGGCATTAAGACTTTTGATGGTCCTAGGAGAAGGCAAGCGTATTGTGCATGCAGGATAGATATAAATCATTGGGGTCAGGAAGGCAGGTTATGTTAGCCAGCCTCCAAGATGGCTCTCACCTCCTAGTAGTCATACCCCAGACACAGATGTCTCAGGCTTCTGAGATGAGGTAATAAAAAGCACTATGGCTTCTGCATTGTTCTCTCTTAGATCACTTGCTCTAGAAGAAGCCAGCTGCCATGTCATGAGGACAGATCCACATCATGAGGAATTTTTGGTAAAACCATGAAGAAAACCAATGGCCTGTTCGTGGCAGTCTGCATTATGGGCTAGCAAATATTCACTGTGCCTCCCTTCACTGCGAAGGGAGTGGACTTCCCTGCCCGACTGAAGTTGGACTTGGCCATGTGATTGCTCTGGGCAGTGGGATGTTAGTAACCATGACATGAGTGGTGCTGTGAATGTGCTTGTGCTGCTGTCTGATGTAGCTCTCACACTTCAATGAGCTGCTAGGAGACTATGCCCCACGGAGACTCCGATCTAAGTAGGATGAGAGATATGTGGAACAGCCCTGGATCACCCTGTGGCCTGGAGCCACACCCAGCTAACCCACAACCTGAAGGAGAGCCACCCCACCAAGCCCAGCTTTTATTAGTGCAAAGCAGGTTAACCTGTGGACCATGACAGTGAGCTAAATGTTGAGTTTAAAGCAATATGTGGTATTTTTTTGTGGCAATATGTGGTATTTTTTCATGGCAACAACTGATTAATACAGTAAACAAAAGCAAATTCAAGAAGGGAAAGGAGAGAATGTAATCAGGGCTTCAAAGTATTGGTGAGTGAAATCTTTCTTTTCCAAGCCAACTGGTAGCTTCACAAATGTTCACCACATCACTATTCTTTAAAGGATACACATCCCCATTATACATACACTGTCATGTATAATTTTTTTCACAGTTAAAAATAAGAGAGTGAAGGAGGAGTTTGGGCCCATGGCCTCAACGAATTCTATGCGCTAAAAGGGAGGTAGTTTAAGAGCAGGTGGGCAGACCAAAAAGGCCGGTGCAAAATGAGGATGGAGGGGGCTGGGAGGAGTGGAGTGCAGAGACGGATAAAGCCAGTGCAAAACTGATAAGACAGTGGTTGCATCTGGATGGTAGACTATTAGGAGATTTTATTTTCTTCTTCATCATTCCCTGGATTTCCCAAATTTTCTACAATGAACATATATGACTTTCATAATCAGAGAAAAGAACAATGTACTGGCTGACACAGGTGGAAACTCCCCAACAGGCATTCTCTTTCTTCCCTGTTGATGGGATGAATCATGACTGGTCCAAGTCCCCATCCCCTGCTGTTGGTTCAGTGAGGCCTCTATGACCCAGTTCCGATCAGTGAGGTGAAAAAGGAAGTTTCCTGGTAGGAGGTGGGAGCAGAATTTTAAGAAAGATTTCCCTCATTGATAAAAAAGAAAAAAGAAGAGAGACAAAGGGGGAAGATTTTCGATGCTGTTGGGTAATCATGTGATAGTTGGATCTGCAGCAGCCATTCTTGCAGCTTTGAGGGAAGATGTTGCCAAGGAGGGTGGCTGAGGGGAGGGATGGCAAGGTCCTAGGTGACAGGTTGAGCCACTAAGCCAATCCAGGGATGGTTCTGCTGACTTCCTGTTAAGTGAGATTATGAAATGTCTATGGTTTAAGTCACTTTTGTTTAGGAAGACTCAATTACAGCCCAAAATATTCTAATTGACATGGAATTTTTTTCAGTGAGGGGAGATATATCTGGATGGCCTTAGAGGCTCATTTTACCACCCCAAGAGCTCAGCATGTCTGAATTATCCCAGTGGTATCAGTCTCTGGGTTCTAGGGGCTCCCCCTTCTTAAGTAGGCTACTTCCTCAATAGGGGAGCTCCCAATGTGACAGTTACAAAGTTGTTCCCTAGTCATACTCTTTCTATGTAACAGCTCCTTTCTAAAATCATTTGTGTCAGCAAAATATGTTCGTTTTCTGTTTCGGCATTACTGGAACAGACACCTTTCTACTTGGACTCTGGCAACAGTGCAGTGGGGTAATGAAACTTTCAGGACTGGCTGGGCCCTACTTCTCTGCTTGTATGTCTCTGCCAGTTATATCCTGTTTTATATGTGCAATGCTGAGAGGGGTGTGGTGTGCGTCCCATAACCACTTGACATGGCGGTGTTCTGCAAAGAGGAAGCCATGAAATGGGGACAGTAGGTAGACATAAACCACGATTGATTAATGTCAATATTTACTGATTGCACCTGGCTCTGTCCCCAAGCTGCATGCAGAGTAAAGCCATGTATGAGAGGTGGGACAAGGCCTGCAGCCCAGCGGGCCATCTACTCATGGAGACCTTCCCAGTGGGTCCACTTTCCAAGGCCCTTCATCTGCCAGGTCTCATCTCAGGAAATCACCAGTTCCTTCCACCTCCCAAAAGAGTGAGCTTTTAAAAACAAATCACATCATGTCATTTCTTTGTTGAAAACGCCCCACAGCTTTCCATCATGCTCAGGATGTGTTTGCTCGTCACCCTCTCTGTGTCTGCTCGTGTGGGCGAGTCGAAGCCTGCTAATTCCAGGGTATCCATGGCATGCCCCTGGTTTTTACCAGAGCTTCACACACACACCTTCTCCCACAGGACCTGAGAGATGTGAGATGCTCCAGGGAAGCGGGCTTTCGGGACTTCAGCCACGTGGGTAAGCCCAGGGTCCTTGCAAATACTGTGTTCTGAGAATGTCAAGGCCACCCGCTGAGAATGTCAAGGTCTCTCTCATCCGGTTGTTCTTCAGGAGACAGGAGAAGGCTTCAGCTGCCCTCTCACTCCCCTTTTTAACTCTTCTCCCCCCAACGAAGAACAGGCTGGTGGAAATCATCTACCAGCCACAGGGGTAACCTTACAGGTGCTACCCAAGCTGGGGGCTGTCAGATCACCTCAGCTACAAGGGCTGCTCTAAAATGCCAGCCCAGAACAGGGGTGAGTCTATCTAGTTCATCTTGGCTAAAGCATTGGAAAGTCCTGTACTGACCTGGAAGTCCAGCTTGGGTGCGGCAACCAATAAGGTCATAAGAGGGCAGTAACAGTTTCCCAACTGCGTTGGAAGAGGGGTTGGCTTCAGACAGAACAGCTCAAGATGTCTTTACCTGGCTAAAGCAGAAGGGCCAGAGGGAGATGTATGGGTGCACTGGTGAAGGCAAATAACTTGATATGCCTGTAAAATGACATTATTAAATACTTGTTCAGAAGTATTTAGTAGGGAGGAAATGAAGCCACTTTTCTCCAAATAAATACAATATATGTAAATAAAAAACTACATGTATGTATTTGTAAATACATATTTACATTACTCTGTTGACTCTTGAACAAGGCAAGAGTTGGGGCACACACCCCTCACGCAGTGGAAAATCTGAGTCTAACGTCTAACTCCCCCAAAACTTAACTACTAATAGCCTACAGTTGACTGTGAGCCTTACCAATAACATAGTCAATCAACAGATATTTTGTATGTTATGTGTATTATATACTGTATTCTTATAATAAAGTAAGGCCAGAGAAGAAAATGCTTTTGAGAAAAATCGTAAGGAAAATACATTTACAATTCTGTACTGTACTTACTGAAAAAAACCCATGTATAAGTGGACCTGCACAGTTCAAATCTGTGTTGTTCAAGGATCACCTGGGATATATAAATATAAATAAACAAACACATTCCTTGTGGGTAGCAACTAGCATGAAGGAGACTGGTGTTGTTTCTTGATTCGGATGCTAGTTACACATAACACTGGTTATGTTCACTTTGTGAAAGTTCATCAAGCTGTATTATTATGATTTGTGTACTTTTCTGTAGGTTTGTTATGCTTTGAGAAAGTTTATCAAAAATCAGTGGTAATGACGGGTCAATTGAAAGCCGTCCTCTTTGTGTTCAAAATAAGAGACTTGTACACTGAATGTGGCCTGAAAGTTTTTGAGAATTAATGGGTAATATGTTCACAAGGTTCAAAGTTCAAATGATAGAAAAGGGTGAATGAAAATCTATCTCCTATTGCTGTTCCTCAGCCACTCAGTTCCCTCCTGTAACAGCTATCTATTACTGTGCAATAAATCACCCCAAAACTTAGTGGTCTAAAGCAACAGCTATTTTATTTGCTCTCAATTCTGCGGGTGAGTAATTCTGCTGGGCAGTGCTTCGGCTGGGCTCTTGTGGTGTGAATTATGCTGCTTCAGACCTTCGGCAGATGGCCTGGGGCTATAAGGTCTAAGATGGCCTGACTCACATTTGTGGTTGTTCAGGTTGCCTGTCTTCTGGGTCCCTCTCTCACTGTGGTCTCTCATCCTTAAGGAATCTTCTTCACATGTTGATCTCAAGGTGGCAGGAGGGAAAGGATGGAAGCTGCAAGGTTTCCTAAGGCCTAGGCCCAAAGCTCTGACACCACTTCAGTTGCATTCCAGTAATCAAAGCAAGTTACCTGGAAAGACAGCTTTCAGAGTGGGGAAAAACAGACTCCACCTCTTGATGGGAGAAGCAAGAAAGTCACATTGCAAAAGGCCATGCATACAGGGATTGGCAGGAATTTGTGGCCATCTTTTGCAATGTGCCGTACCTCCCATGGAAATTCTTATATAGCCTTCTAGAAATATTTTGTATATATTTAAACAAATATATAAATATATATATATATGTATACACACACATGTAAGTTCATATATATGCAAATGCCTCTACTTCAAGCTAAAAACTTGAGAGTCTTTCCTAAATTCTCCCTTCCCTTTCCCTTAATATCTGCACCCAGGCCATTAGCAAGTTCATAAAATCTCTAAAATCCAACCACTTCTCACCATCTCTATTGCCACCTCCCCCTTCCAAGTCACTTCCATCTCCCACCTGTCATGCTGTCCTAACTAGTCTCCCTGCTTCCACTCTCATCCCACTTGAAGCCATTCCCTACCCAGAAAGTACAGTAAGCTTTTTAAAAATAGAGATCACATCATAAAACATCTTTGTCAAAAACTCTTTGAGGGCATCCATCCTACTCAGTATGTTTGTTCCTGTCTTCATCTTCCAGGCTCCAAAGTCAACATTCATTAGAATTAGGTTTACCTGTGAATGACAGAAAAATTAAGGTATAGTGGTGTAAGCTAAATAAGTGTTTATTTCTCTCATATATAAATGAAGTCCTGGGATAAGTAATGTAGAGTTTGTTTGACTCTCCAAGTTTCAGGGACCCAGGCTCCTTCTCTCTTGTTCTACCCTCCTTAACACATGGTTTTTCTCTTATGGTCCAAGATGACTGCTCAAGCTCCAGCTATATGGTTGCCTTTCAACCAATGGAAGATAAAAGAGACAAAGAAAGATATGTCCCTTCCTCTAAGGACATTTCCTGAAGTTGCTCAGGGTACTTCTGCCTGTATCTCATTTGCCAGAACTTACTCACATGGCCATACAAAGCTGGAAGATAGGCTGGGAGAAGTGGTCTTTATTCCAAGTAGGTACGTACCCAGATGTAACTTTAGGGTTCTACTGAGGAAGTGGAAATGAATGAATATTGGAGGTAAACTATCAGTTTCTGACACAGATTGCTCTGACCATACTGGCTTTCTAGTCAATCCTGATTTCTGGAGAGCAAATCTACTCCTATGTTCTTATTTTTTATAGTTTATTTGTCAATTCCTAAAAAGAAGAAGGTGGAGGAGTTGGGAAGAAGAAAGAAATTTGATAGTATTTAAGCTGGAATTAAATTAAACGTATACAGTAATTTTGGAGAATTGACACTTCTGTGAATTTATATCTTTCTATCCAAGAACATGGCATATCTTTTCATTCATTCAAATCTTGTTTTATATCTTTTAATAAGATTTCATAGTTTTTTCTTTACAGGCTCTATGCTTTTCTTGTTAAATGTACTCTGGAGTATTTCACAGTTTTGGTTGCTATGAATATGTTCCCCTCACCCCATTTTGTTTGTAGGTATTCACTCTAAAAGTAGGAAAAAAATAGATGTTTTTGCTTCCAAATTATAGAGCGGCTTTTAGCTTTGAGTGATTCTGCTGAGAACAACTAGAAAAGCCAGATAAAATGGTTCCCTCTTTGCCTCTGTTCTCCCCACCCTGAAGAAGAAATGAGTAAAGGCATTGAAGAATTGCTGACCCAAAGAGGCCTAGGGGGTCTAAGGTTCCAGAGAAGGGAGTGGAGGACAGTGGAGTTAACAGTTTCAGTGACTTTTTGTACTTCAATATAAAGTTTTCTTAAAAAAAACAACAACAATGTTTTGCTTTTAGATTTATCTTATATACAGTCGCCTTGCCCAACTCTCTTATTCATTCTAGTAGTATTTACTAGAGTCTCATATGTTTACTAGGCATACAATCTTAACAGTAAAAAGAGTCTTACCTCTTTTGTTTCTTAAGTTTATTGCAGTTATGTTATTTTCTTATCTTAATGCTCTTGCTAACCTGGGTGGAATAACAGAATAATTGATTAATGGAAGGGGTTGCTAATACTTTGGATAATGGAATCAAGAAGTTCACTAAAATGTTTACAGTCCCTTGCCTGTGAGGCTCTGTGCCTCCGCTTGTGTTCACCCTCACAATATCACATGAGTCAGGCACTGGCCACCCCACTCGCAGATGAAAAGACAGAGAAATTAGGTAATTTGTGTAAGGTCTCTGAGCAGGGTGGCAGGGGTGGGAGGGGCAGGGGGAACGAGGAGCCTGGGGAAGAGCTGCGCCTGCCTCCCCTTCTCTCCACCAACCTGCATGGAGTTCTGAAAGGGGTTTTAAGCTCTCTTAAGGGAACTATCTGCTAAGGCAACAGAGTGAGAGTTAAGTGTGAAACTGCAGAGATGGCAAATGAAGGTTTTGTCCCTCCTTCATCTGCTCACTGATTCATTCATTCTCTCCATGAACACACATAGAGCACTGAGCACCTATTCTGTGCCAGGCCCTGCTCTGGACACTGGGAACACAGGGATGATGAGGCAGAGGGAATAGCATGCACAGAGAATAGGATGGGCTTCCAGGCCATGGAAGGAGAGGTCTAAGGAGAAAACAAAGGGAGCCCTGGACTAGGTAGGCTGTATCAGGCTACCTGACGCAGGGCTGTTGTATCAGTCCTGTGCCCTCTTGACTCTCTCACTCATGATCAGCCCAGTTGCCAGATGCAGGCTTGGTTCTGGGCAGAACCTTGCAGTGTTCTCCATAACATGCTGTGGGCCAGTGGGTCTTGGCAACAGCAGAGAAGCACTTCGTAGCCTGAGTGTCCTGGTGGGGGCTTCATCCTGCCATGAATCTGCATGCTGGCAAACTTGGGAGACTCTTCAGAGTTCTATGCAGAAGTGCCTGACAGTGTGAGACCAAGTCTCACTCTCCCAGGCCTCAGTGGGAGATAGTTATCTGTTCCATGGCAGCATATGTGTTAACAGTTCTCTTGGTTTTAGGCAGAATTTCTTCAGTCAGTGAAAAAAAATTATTTTCTGTACTAAGAGTCAAGAAACACACCACTAACCTAGCAGGACTAGTTCAAGTAAAATGAAAGCTCTTATCAGTCTCACCTTGTGATGAAAGAAGTGCCTGAAGTGCCCGATGCCCTGGACATGTCCAACTCTGTGATTTGGTCCATCTTATGCTTAATAGCAAACCAGCTAGGGAAAGGAAAATTTCAGTATTCAGATCAAGATAACTAGCCTCTTATAACATGAGAAAGATCCTGTCGCTAGAAGCAGAAACCAAATCCATAAAAACACAAGTAGAAAAAGCAAAAACAAACTTCGAATCACACAGGCAACAAAAGACTCTGGACCCTCATACAGAACCCCAGGGCGCATGTGAAGAGTCAGGTCTGGTCTCTGGAGGAACACTGGCTGAAGAGGAAAGACCCGTGGCTTCCAATGGAGAAGAGAAAGTGAGGACCACCTTGGACTCAGGAGGTGGAGAAAGTATCTATGACCCACCAGACAAGAACCAGACAAGAGGAGCTGGGAGGAAACTGACCGATGTTGAAAAGTTGAGTGTGCCTTTTAACATCCAATCTGGAGAGAAAATTCAATTCGACATCAGCTTTGTAAAGAAGGAAAGAGAGAAGCTGATGTAACAGATCATTTAAAAAATCTTCAGGCTGGGATCCCGAATAGCTGAAGTGGTAAAGCTGGGGGGATTGTGCTCCCTGACTTCAGACTCTACTACAAAGCCACAATAATCAAGACAATTTGGTACTGGCACAAGAACAGATGCATACACCAATGGAACAGACTAGAGAGCCCAGATATAAACCCAAACATATATGGTCAATTAATATACAACAGGGAGACCATGGACATACAATGGGGAGATGACCGCCTCTTCAACAACTGGTGTTCACAAAACTGGACGGCTACATGCAAAAGAAGGAAACTGTCATACACAACTCAAAATGGATCAAAGACCTAAATGTAAGTCATGAAACCATGGAACTCTTGGAAGATAACATAGGCAAAAATCTCCTGGATATAAACATAAGCAACTTTTTCCTGAACGCATCTCCTCAAGCAAGGGAAACAAAAGCAGAAATGAACACATGGGACTACATCGAACTAGAGGGCTTCTGTGCAGCAAGGAATGCCATCAACAGGGCAGGGAGGCATCCTACAGTATGGGAGAATATATTTGTAAACGACATATCCAACAAGGGGTTAACAACCAAAATATATAAGGAACACACACACCTCAACAACTAAAAAGCAAATAACCTGATTAAAAAATGGGCGGAGGATATGAACAAACAATTCTCCAAAGAAGAAATTCAGATGCCAAGAGACACATGAAAAGATGCTCCACATCACTAATTATCAGGGAAATGCAAATTAAAACCACAATGAGATTATCACCTCACACAAGTTAGGATGGCCAGTATCAAAAAGACTAAGAACAACAAATGCTGGCGAGGATGCGGAGAAAGGGGAACCCTCCTACATTGCTGGTGGGAGGAATGTAAGCTAGTTCAACCAGTATGGAAAGCAATATGGAGGTTCCTCAAAAAACTAAAAATAGAAATACCATTTGACCCGGAAATTCCACTCTTAACAATTTACCCAAAGAATACAAGTTCTCAGATTCAAAAAGACACATGCACCCCTATGTTTACTGCAGCACTATTTACAATAGCCAAGATATGGAAGCAACCTAAGTGTCCATCAGTAGATGAATGGATAAAGAAGATGTGGTACATAAACACAATGGCATGCTATTCAGCCATAAGAAAGAAACAAATCCTACCATTTGCAACAACATGGATGGAACTGGAGGATATTATGCTCAGTGCAATAAGCCAGGCAGAGAAAGACAAGTGCCAAATGATTTTCCTCATTTGTGGAGTATAACGACGAAGCAAAACTGAAGGAACAAAACAATAACAGACTCACAGACTCCAAGAAGGGACTAGCAGTTACCAAAGGGGAGGGGTGGGGGAGGGCAGGTGGGGAGGGAAGGAGAAAGGGACTGAGGGGTATTATGATTGCCACACATGGCGTGGGGGGGGATCATGGGGAAGACAGTGTAGCACAGAGAAGGCAAATAGTGAGTCTGTGGCATCTTACTACACTGATGGACAGACAGTGACTGCAATGGGGTATGGGGAGGACATGATAATATGGGTGAATATAGAGACCACATTGTTTTTTCATATGAAACCTTTATAAGAGTGTATATCAATAATACCTTAATAAAAAAAATCTTCAGGCTGAGCAAACCTCAACTGAAAAAGTACAGATCAAAATTGTCAAGGGAGAGAAAGTGAAGTGAGTGAACTTTGTCACAAAAAAGAAACAGAGTCTCTTGAGAAGTTATCTGTCCAGGAAAATCATTACTTGGAGCAAGAGGAGGAAAGTTCTGAAGCAAATGACAAGATGAGCCTGCAAAGAGCTGAAAACCTTAGGAGAGCAAGCAAAGACCTGGAAGAAAACCTAGAAAGCATCATTTGTTCTTAAAACCAAAGTATTTCCCTTGAACTAAAAGGTCATGATCACTGGGCAAGTGCACCGGAGACAAAAGAAACCTCTTCATCTCAAAACAAGAGATTGCAGACATGAAACAGTGATTAAACTTGAGCTTCTAGAAGTAGACCCTCAGGCAACTGATCATCTAGATGGAGCATTTTTTCAGGGAACACTTTCATGCCCCTCATCTCTGGACATGGGGTGCTATTTTTCTAAGATAAGAGGGTCTCAGTGCCCCTCCCCTCAGACCCTCTTCTTGGCTGCCAGGCTTTCCTCCTACATTTCCAAATCTGGTGTTTTCAATAGATTCAAATGGGAAGCTCATGGCAAAATGACATCTTCCTCCCTGTATTAGTCAGGGTTCTCCAGAGAAACAGAACCAGTAGGCTATACATACACACATATAAAGAGATTTGTCTCAAGGAACTGGCTTATGTGATTGTGAGGGCTGAAAAGTCTAAAATCTGTAGGTCAGGTTAAGCAGGCCAGAAGCTCTCAGGCAGGGCTGAGACTACAGTCCACAGACCATACAGTATTCTTCCTCAAGGAAATTTCAGTTTTGTTCTTAAGGCCCTTCAACTAATGGGATGATTATTAAGGATAATCTCCTTTCCTGAAAGTAAACTGATTGCAGACGTTAACCACACTTACAAAATCTACAGAAACACCTAGATTAGCATTTGACTGAATAACTGGGCACTACAGCCTAGCCAAGCTGACACACCAAGCTAACTCCCTCACCTCTTCTCCAGGACACCTGGATGAATGCCCCTGAGATGGCTTTCTACCAAGAGGTTGTTATCTGCCTTATCTTCTCTCATGGACTGGGTTTTCATCTGAATACTCCGTCCAGGAAAGCAAGTATGTTACCTTCTGGGTTATTGAGCCATCACATAACCCTTCTCCTCAAACTACTGAAATACTGCAAGGACCTTATAACATTTGATTAATTTTTTTCTTTAAAACTGTTTTTTAATTATCTACATTTTTTTTGGTTTAAAAACCTTTTTAACAATTCAATAATAAAAAACAAATAATCCAATTTAAAAATGGGCAAAAGATTAGAATAAATGTTTCTCCAAAGAAGATATACAAAGGCTAATAAGCATAGGAAAAAATGCCCAACATCACTGGTCAGCAGAGAAATGCAAATCAAAACCATAATATAACACTTTTCACCAGCTAGAATGGGTCTAATCAAAAAGGCAGATGGTAACAAGGGGTGGCGAGGCTGTGGAAAAATTGGAACTCTCATAGGTTGCTGGTGGTATTGTAAAACAGTGCAACCACTTTGGAAAATAGTTTGAGAGTTCCTCAAAATATTTAACATAGACTTACCATATGATCCAGCAACATCACATCACACCCAAGAGAAATGAAACAGATGTCCACACAAAAACTTATACACAAAGGTTCACTGCAACATTATTTATAATGGCAAAGTGGAAACCACCCGAATGTCCAACTGATGAATGAATAAATAAAATATGGTATATATGGTATACCCATACAATGGAATATTATTCATAAATAAAAAGGAAGGATTGATACGTGCTACAACATGGATGAACCTTGAAAACACTGTAAAATGAACAAAGCCAGTTACAAAGGGTCACATATTGCATAATTCTATTCACATGCAATGTCCAGATAGGCAAATCCATACAGATAAAGTAGATAGTGGTTGCCAGGGGCTGGGAGGAAAGGGGGTTGAGAGTGGCTGCTAAAGGGCACAGAGTTTCTTTTTGGCATAATGAGAATGTCCTGATATCAGACAGTGCTTAATGTTGTACAACTCTGAGTATATTAGAACACTGAATTTTATGGTATTTAAATTATATCTCACTAAAATTATCATCAAAAACTTTTACATTAGGTGATTTTACTTTTGCTCAAAGTCCACCTTAACATAAATTTCAGAATATTAAAATAGAGATTATATAAATTATTCTCACTATATTATACTCTCTAGAAAATATTACTAGTAAATTCTAATTTGATGAGCCAGTCCACTCTTCACTAAACAATATATTATTCAAGAGCTATTCATCCACCAGAGACATTTGAAATAATAAATACTTTCCTCTCTGCCAATAGTTCTATATACCATGGTTACAAGAGAAATGTGAAAGTTACTTGCTGGTCTCAATACATTTTAGTTCATTAAACAGCCTCTCAAAGTCAGGACTGCAGAAGCTGGTATTCCTGCTATGCTCTCAGGGACTTTCACTTGTCTATCCACACTTTCCATAGGTCTACACAGCTCTGGCAATTAAAAACAATTGGATCAATAATTATCATGGCTTGGGAAGTGGGAGTGGGTAGGAGAGTCTATGAATTCCCAGGAATTATATGCAAAATGTAACGGACATATGTGTGCATTTCTTCCTGGTCAGCCTCTACACTCTTTATCAGCTTCTCAAAGAGGGTCATTGACCAACACTTCACAGGCACATGTCAGGTTTGGGGTTGCATGTAGATTCCATAGCAGTATCCATGGTTTTAGTTTGCCAAACATCCTTTCCCTTTTCTTGTCAAAGCGCCCCCTCTGTGGGAGGATGGTGGGGAGTTGTCACCCAGAATTCCATACTGCTGCTGGGGAATCTTTCTTGTCTAGTTGCTAAATCCAGAGAACGTAATCTAGGAGCTGTCTGTACTGTTGCCCTACCCCACCCCTCTTTGGAGAACACCAAGCAGCCCTTCGCGGAGCGGGGCAGGGATAACTAGAGGAGAGGGGCAGGATCCAGGTTCAGATTCCCTGAAGCCAGCCAGCTCCGACCTTCTCTCTCTCGCTCCCTCCTTCGCTTCTTCTGTCCTCTTTACGGTCTGTCTACCCTCATTCCCTCCGGTCTTTGCACAGTGGGGTGTAAAATTTAGTCAGGAGCAAGGAGGGACGTTCCAAGGACAAAAAGGCACAGGGTTGGAAAGAGCGTGCTTTGGTAAAGCTGGTTCCTGGGGCAGCACGGAGGGGATGAGCTCAGTGGCTAATAGGATTGGCCACGGCGAATCCTCCGTAAGGCGCGTACTGCTAAGGCCTAGGAGGCTCAAGGTCAGGATAACAGAAACCCAGGAGCGAGGGGGTAAGCTTAAAGAGCCAGGCGCCGCCTGGTACAGCCCGCACCTGCGGGAGAGATCGGCTTTAGCCCCGCCCCGACCGAGGGAGGTGGACTGGCCCGCCCGCCGCCCCGCCCCGGGAATCTTAGCGAGGCTAGGCCAAGACCACCTCCGAATCACGGATGACCGGTTGTCCAGTGAACCGAAAGTCAGAGACAGACATTAGTAAGGACGCTTGGAGAATGACTGGAAAGAGAGGGCACCTTTCTCTACCAGCTGTGTGGCCCCCCTTCCCGTTCCGACTTGGTAGCACCCTCCTGATCCCTTTATCTCTAAGGCGCTCAGGGAACTGCTCCCCTGCTCTCTGGGAAATGCTGCCGTGGCCGCCCAGGAACCACGAGCCCTGTAGCCCCGGTAAGGAAGGGTTCTCTGGTACTGGAGGAAGGGCTCGGGGCAGGGTGGGCGCCCATCTCAAACAGGGGTTGGGACCAGGAGGCCGCAGGGCCTTTTCTCGGAATGACATCCTGGGTCTGCTCCTGGGTGGGAGTTTGTGTGATTCAACATGATCCTGGCCGGGCAGACTGAAGTGGTAGATACAGAAATGGTCTTTCTCCGTTGGGCCCCTCCAATCCATTTGCCACTATACCCTAGAGGGGCCTTCCAACCATAAATCAGACCACCTACTTCCTCATCTTGAAACCCCCACTCCAAGTTCCAGTCACTGTCATAATGCCCAAGCTCTTGAGCCTGTCATTCAAGGCCTACATTTTATATCCTTGCAATCCCTGCAGCTTCATCACCTGCCACTCCCCATGCCCTCACCAGCCTTGCACTCTACTTTCCAAACACACTGAAATACTGGGCATTATTTTGAACTTCCTAATCAGTGCTCATGAAAGTCTCATAGGTTTTCCCTGGGAAACACCTATTTGTCCTTCAAGACCCCTTTCAGCCCTTTTGGGAGGCTTTCCTGAACCTCTTGGACAAAGTCAGACTCTTCTCTCCTATTGTTAAATGACACCCTGTGTTCTAATCATGTTTACATTTAGCCTCCCCGACCAGACTGCAAGCTGGGGAAGAAGGGAGAGCCTTGCTGGATGCTCCTTTGTGCCCTCCACTAGCACTCAGTGCAGTGCCTGACACAACCTGAGTAGTGAAAAGATATGGCAAAACTAGGAATCTGGCTCTCTTTGCATTTTTAATTTTTTCTAGAAAACGAGTTCAAGATTCTTAAGAAAAATTATTTCATGATGAAGGAGTGAATAAATGTTCTTGGCAAAATAAAATTGCAGGTGTGGCCTCTTACCTGTGCTCCAGATCAGTACAGGGCTACCTCCCAGAAAGTTGTGTACGGCTCAGCTCTAGGGCTTCAGACTACACGTCCCAGCATGCCGCCTGGCAGCACACCGCTCCACGCCACGCCTCCTCCCTGGGGGTGTAGGCCTGGAGCTCAGCCTGGGACTGAAATGCCCCAGGCGCTCTGGGGCGCACAAAGCGCAGGCGCAGCGGGTTGGGCGGCAGCGGCATCAAGTAGCGGCGTTTGGCAACAGCATCTGCAACAGGTGTAGACAGGTGGGTGCATCAAGGGAGGCTGGAGAGGGAATTTGCACCTGGCCCTCCTGTCCGGCATGTGTCAGGGCCTGGAGAGGGGAGGGAGCGGCAGGAAAAGCAGGGACAAGCTTGGGCTTTCCAGTCCGGGCATGCCAGCCCTTGCTACGCAGCAACAGGTGAGAGCCGGTGGGGGAGGGGCAGAGGTAACTTCGCAAGTAAGTAGTCCTCAGGAACAGAGGGCAATTCCAATCCAAGCTCCATCACATACACAGACAAGTCACTTGCTGTGTCTCAGTTTGTCTACCTGTAAACTAGGAGTAAAAATCCTACCCATCTAACAGAGTCACGGTGGGGACAAGGTGAGGTAGTATAATATGTGCAGTTGTTCCCAAATTTTGCTGCACACTGGAACCACCTGGGATCTTTAAAGACTATTAGTGCTTGCATCCTGCTCCCAGACATTCTGATTTAATTGGTACGGGGTGTGACCTGGGTATCGGGAATTTTAAAAGCTCTTACTCATGTGATGGTTAGAAGGCAGGAATGCTGGGCATGAATCCTAGCTATACTGCGTACTAATCAAATGCATCTGCACAAGTGACTGGACCTCTCTAATTGTTACGAGGTTCCAATGAGATCATAGACGAAAGCACTGAGAAGTGTACCTGGCACATAGTGCTTATCAGTCCTAGCTGCTGTTAAACTATTATTTTATGCACTTTGTAAATGGCTCAGATAGGATTCCAGTGTGAGGGAGGCTTTTCTTATCATGAAAGTCCTTCATTCACTGCTGTGATTCTAATATTCTGTGCTGCCATTTCAAAATGCCAGGGTTTCTAACATTTTAAGAGTTCCTCATTCCATCCTATACCTCCCTCACAGATACACTTTTGCAGATCTGAAAACAGAGGGGTGGGGGGGATTGGTCAAGGTTATGGAGCTGAGATTGGAACCCAGGCTTCTGACCCCCACCCCCACCCCAGCACAATGGGTGGCTGCCCTGCTGAGCCTGCAAGGACAGTGCTCCCATTATCTGCCTGGAGCACAGAATGGGGAGGAGACAGGCAGGCTTGCCCTTGTTTGTTTATGAGCACTCCCTTAAAGGGTTCCTCGGTGACTCCCCAGGGAGGACAGGGCTAGGGGCTTCTCTCCAGGGAGCTGCTCTGGAGCTGCTACTGAAGCCTGTGTGTCCTGTGGCTACTCTGACAGGTTCCACCTGACTCCACCCTGGAAAGTCCTTTTGAAGAAATGGCCCTGGTGAGGGGCGGCTGGCTGTGGAGACAGAGTGAGTGAGCCTGGCCCAAGCCCTTGTCTGTCCTGCACCTTGTCTAGGGACAGGGAAGAGGGAAGTGGCTTGTTGGATCCTTCTCCCAAGAAAGCAGGCCCTTTATATCCTCTCCTTCTTTGTCCACGCTTTTCTCTCTGCCTGGAATATCCTTTCTACTCCAGACGGCTTGGTAAACTTCTACTTATTCTTCATGACCCAGATCAGATATCCCCTTCTGTGAGGAGCCTTCTCTGAGTTTTCCTACAACCCCCCTCCAGCACCTGCTGTAGCATCAAGCTGGGTTAGAGACTCCCTTCTCTGTTCACCTCATCCATACCCCTGCTATCGCACTGATCTCCCTATAATAGACCTGCTTTTACCTGTGGGTCTCACTACTCCCCAACCCCTTACTGGCCCCAGACTGTAAGCTCCTCAAAGGCAGGGATTGGGTTTGATCCTGTGTGTCCACAGTAGGACCACCCAGAGCTGACCACACAAGGCTCCAAACAAAATGAAAAATGCATCTGTGCTTTGGAGTCCATAAGGCTGTAAGCAGCTCTTATATGTTTGCCTTTTTTGTTAAGAATGCCAGTCACAAATTGACTGAAGCTGGGCTCAGGCTTCCAGACCCACCTCTGACCAGAGTCATGATCTGAACAGGAGCTACCCTGGGCTAGGAGCACCCACCCTACCCCATGACCCATTCTCAGTTCATTCAGTTCAGTGGACATTGAGCTTAGGTCCTGCTGGGGGCCAGGCCCAGTTTGGGATGCTGCAGACCCCAGTCTGGTGAAAGAGGCAGACACTACACAAATGACTGTCACGTGAGTCAGAGTTTAAAAGATAAGATAGAGGCTTGAGGTAGGGATATGCCTTTGCCCTTAAAGAGCCTGAGGATTGGCCTTAGAAGCTCCCAAGGAAGGAATCTGGTCGTTCATTTACCATTCAGCATGTTTATGGAGCCTCTACTATGTGTTAGGCCCAATAGGAGGCAATGGGTGAGTGTGACAGAAAAAGGCCCTGCTATCATTTCAGGAGGCAGATAGACAAGGAACGGGTGGTTGCAACACTGGTAGCAAGGGGCAAAGGAACTCTGGGAGCCCATCCAGGGCCCCCACTCCCCAGCAGGCTCTGCAATCAGCCTGCCTGGTGGGTTTGGAATATCGCACAGGCTCCATCCTCCGCCGCTGGAAGCGTAATTGGTTCGCCCTATGGCTGGATGGGACCCTGGGCTATTACCGTGATGAGACAGCGCAGGATGAGGAGGACCGTGTGCTCATCCACTTCAACGTCCGTGACATAAAGATCGGCAAAGAGTGCCATGGTGAGAAGCCCTTTCCTTTCTGGCACTGTGACTGCAGGCATGTCCATCCCACTGTGTCTGTCTGAGAGCTCCTGCACTGGAGGGTGTGTGGCAGCTTCCAGAGGGCTTCACAGACATCGCTTCTGGGCCTCTGTTAACTCCAGTTCATGTGGGTGCAAGTTAAGAAATCAGTTCCTTACTGAGTTCATACCCCTTGCTGGGCCTGGATTCTATGCTGGGGTGCTAGGAACTGGATAAAGATGAAAGGAAATAAGGAAGCTTAGAGAAGTTAAGTGACTGGCCCATAGTCACAAAGCAATCTCCTCAACCAAGGCTCCAGCCACAATTATAAAAGGGTAACTAAGATAGATGTGCCTAACTGGAGAAGCAGGCAATGGGGAATGGTTGAAAGGCTCAAAAGAATAGAGCAGAATCCTAAAGAAAGTGTGTGTGATCAGAGGAGGTTGACAGTGGCTGATAAACAGGACCCAGAGAGGTCAGTTCCTATTCTTGTTCCTGGTTTACCACGGGGCCTGGGGCCTGTGTCCCGTGGAAACCCCTTATATGTGTGTCTGCCTTTAGATGTGCAGCCCCCAGAGGGCCGGAGCCGAGATGGCCTGCTGACCGTGAACCTACGGGAGGGCTCCCGCCTGCACCTGTGTGCAGAGACCCAGGATGATGCCATGTGAGTTGCTCCCAGGAGAGGAGGAGGTGGAATCTTGGGGAATATGACCAGACACCTCTGCCACATTGGGCCTTCTGGTTCCCTGAGGTAGTAGGAGGAGACAAGGACTAGTTAGCAAGGTGGGGGCTGGGCAGAGTGGATTTGAATGGCTCATGGTGAGTGCTATGGTACCCAGTGCACCCCTCATGCAATCTGTGATGTACTCAGGACTACTGGGGGAGGAACACATACCCCTGCCTCAGGTGTGTGGTTCCTGATCAGAGTTGGATATTTAGCAGCCTCTGAGGTGAGCCCTCATTTGGGGGTGATACAAAGGAACAGACATTCCTTTGGCATCCTCAGAGGACCCTCCTTTTCATTCCCTTCTGTAAAGATGCCCTGGTGGTGGGACTTTGATCTGAGGGGTAGACCCTGACTTGCCTAATAGAGGCAAACCCGCCTATCTCAGGGCACCCCCGTGTCAGATGCAGACCCATGAGAGTGGGCATGTCTCTTCAGGCGCCTTCTACTCACATTCTTTCCCTTCCTACCCTCTGGCAGAGGGTCAGTTGGCCTTTGCATTGTAGGAGAGTGAAAGATAGGGCGCATGGGAGTGGGGGAAGCTGAGCTCTCATTAGACAAAGCATAGAGCCGCCTTGTCCACCCCAGCCAGGTGCCATGGCAACCAACAGAGGCCCCATTGTGCCATGTCCACTGGGCCTTCTCAGGACTCTGGCTGGGGTCAGAGTGTTGGGGAACAGCTCATAGCTTTTGGATGTGGAGGTGGGCTGCAGCTAGAGAACAAGAATATGAAGACCCCTAAGAGACCATCCAAGCCCACTGTCTGTTGTCTAAGACAGCAGAGAAGAGACTATGGACTAAGAATGAATTAGGAGGCTCCAGCTCAACTGAAGGCTCTCTGTCCATGTGACCAGGGTGGGGAAGGGGTCACCTTTGTCTACCCAAGGGAGGTCAAGGGGATCTCCCCCTTCATGAGAGACTGGGGCTAGAGGCTGGGTTGGGGAGGAAAGTCTAAAACAGGAGCCCAATCCCACTTGTTCTAGACTCCCTCCTCATGGTCTGGCGGGGTTTGCTTTGCAGAGCATGGAAGACGGCGCTGCTGGAGGCAAACTCCACTCCGGTGAGCCACCGCCCCCCAGTCCCCCCTCTCCTCCCCACCCTACCTGCCATGGAATCATGGGTGACTCAGACTCGGTCTCTACCTACCAAGAGTTCTCAATTCCCCTATATGTCGGACTAGTGCAGACTCAGATGCCTTGAGTCCCAAGTGGAAAAGGACAGGAGACAGCCAGCTGGTGCTTGGAGGAGGCAGTAAGAGGCTTCTAAAAAGGCTGGCTGGTGGGGGTGGTGTGCAAGCTGGTGGCAAGGAACTGTTTTTATCGAGCAACTATTATGTACCAAGTGTGGTGTGAGTACAATTACAGCTACTCCTCCCAACAGTCTTGTGAGGTTGGAGTTATTATTCCTTCCCTGCAGGTGATAAGACTGAGCTTCCTATATCCACACAACAAATGTTTACTGAGTTGCTACTATGTGGGCCCTACCCTCCTGGGGCAGCCTAGTGAAGAGTCAGATCTGAAGCACCTAATCACGGTTAATGATTCCACGCAACAGTGGAAACAGCTCTGGTGGAGATAAGCAGCATGCATTCAATGTACAACCACCTTGGTGGCCTGATCCAGGTGGAAGCTCAGACAAGACTTAAGATGAGACCTGAGGATAAACAGAAATGGATTAGGTAAAAGGGGTGGGGTGGGGCCAGGGGAACAGCTTTCCAGGCAGGGGGAACTGCATGTGCAAAGGCTCTGAGAGGGGCTAAGACTTTGGCAAGTTGGAGAACAGAAGGAAGGCTGGGTTGGGTGGAGAGCAACAGGGAAGGAGGGTTGGCAGGGCCCAGCATTATGGGCAGTAGAAAGGATTTGGTTTCTGCTAAGAGCACTGGGAAGTCATTGGAAGTATTTAAGCTGAGGGATGGTATGAACAGATCAGACCAGATTTGTATTTTTAAAAAGATAGTATGGCTGGAAGGTAGAGAAGGATTTCAGAGGGTAGCAGTAGATGTCCAGAGACCAGTTAGAAGGCTGGGACAGTGCCCAGGTGACTAGCTGGAGGTCTGGATTAATACCTTGCTAACACAGACAAGCTGATGAGAATAACACATATTTAGGAAGCAGAGTCAACAGAGCTTAGTGGTTGACGGAGGTGTGGATTTGAGGAGCTGCCCAAAGCCCCCAGCCCCCACTGCCTGACCGCCAGATTCTGTGCTTGTTCATTCTCTCTGAGGCACAGTGCAGCCCTTCTCATCTAGAAAGAGTCCACTGCAAAGTAGCAGTGAAGAGTGAGATGCACTTAGAAACCCCTTGTCCACTCCTGAGGACTGGGCATTGTGCCGAGGACCTGGCATTGGTCCTATCATTTAAACCTTCCAAAAACCCTGGTAGGGATTCACATTTTTAGTCCCTTTTAGAGATAAGGAAGCTGAGGTTCAGAGGGTAAGTGACTTGTATAAAGTCTTAAGTCAGTGGAAAAACCCATGTTGGAACCTAGGTCAGTGAGATTTTGAGGGGAGGGCATTATTTGCTGAAGGCTGACCTGAGCAGAGGTGATATGTGCACGTTTGTGTATGCGCATGAGAGTCAACACATGGAGGGAAAAAAGTGGGAGAGGTGACCTCGGAGGAGCCATGTCACACTTTTGTATCCAGTTGAAGGAACTGAACTTTATCTGAGGGTTGTGGGGAACAATAAAGGGCATGAAGTAGGGAAGGCTGTGGTCAGACTTTGGGGAGATCAGGCTTCTGGGTAGAGACTGGAGTAGAGAAAGCTGGGAGTGAGGAGGCTGGGCCAGGCTGGAGGGACCCCCAGTTGGTAAAGCTGGCTTTGAGCTCCAAGTCCCCCTTATGCAGGGCAAATCAGTCCCATCCAAGAAAGGCAGAAACAAGGAGGTGAGGGTGACCGCTCTGCACTCTGTGACTCTATGAAGCTGCCTTGTCCCTTCCCTGCCTGTCCACATCTCTCCGCTCTGTCTACTGCACATCCCTCTGTTCTACACACACACACACTCTCTCTCTCTCCTTTGGCCCCAGAGCTTGCTCAAGCAGGATGTGTTTGTGTCTCTGCGTCTTTGTCCCAGTGTCTGCCTGTCTCTGAGCATATTCACGCCTATGTCTGTAGCCTTCTCTCTGACCTGTGCCTATGCAGGAGAGACCTGCACTTGTGTCCCTCCACATCCTGTAGGTTCATACTTCACTCTGAGTGGAGGCTGTAGGAGACTCTACCCCTGGCTGTTGAGGGAACACAGTGCCAGGGCATAGGCAGGAACAAGAGGGCTGGGTGGGAGGACAGATCACAGCTGTTCTGTCTTCTCTGGAGACTGGGAGCCTCAGCAGCCTGAAAGAGGTGAAGGTGGGCTAATTTTGGAGAGATTGATCCTTCTCTGTGTAACTCTGGCAAACTCAACCTCCTTCTGATCCCCACCCACCCTGTCATGGGCTGAGGAGGAAGAGGATATTCCCTCCACCTGCCCAGGTTGCAGAGGGTGGTGGTTGTGCCTGTTAAAAGCACTGAGTCTCTCCAGATGCAGAGGGACTCTGACATGTCCCTCCTTCCACCTTCTTGGGTTTCTGTGGCTTGAGCAGGCCCCAGCTGGAGCCGCCGTCCCTCCCAGGAGCCGCCGGGTTTGCCCCAAGGTCAGGTGTGTGACCCACTCATGGAGCCCCTGTCAGGTTGAGAGGCGCATCTGGGTAAGTGCTGGCTCAGCCCTCCCTGCCTCCATTCTGGCCATGAGGATGTGCCTCCAAACCTGGGCCTGGTCACATCCCTTCTCTGCTCACATTTAAATATTCCACCCAAACACCCAAACACAGCCCTGCTCCTCCTCTCAGACCTACCCCAGAGGCAACCTCCTCAAGGAGGACTTCCCAGACCTCCAGCCATGGTCACTCCCTCCCACAGCCCACTGCTCTAATGCTTAGGACCATCCTCATTCTGCCAAGTTTCAAGTCCCTTTATTTCTGTCTCTGTTCTCCCTTAAGGCCTGGAACTTCCTCCAAGGCAAAAACCGTATCTCATCAGTTCTGTGGCCTTATGGAGTCTAGCACAGTGCTGGTATACAACAGGTGCTCAGTAGGTGCTCAGTGATAAGGACAGTCTATTTTGACCCTCCTTATTCCTGGTACATGAAGCTCGGTGCAAGTAGGCCTCAGACAATGTTCACTGAATGAGCAAATAAGTAAATGAATAAAGGGAGGAATGAAGGAGAGAAGAACCTCTGTTATGGCATCACTACTGCATTTTGTAACTTAGTCCCTGTCTGTCTCCTTCGCCTCTCCCCAACAACGTTTCTGGAAAGCAGGGTTTGGTGATGAATCCTCTCTGTCCCCAGTGTGCATCCTGGCATAGTGTGGGCACAGTGGGGAACCTGCCTTAGAGTACCTGTGGGCTTACAGCTGCCTGAGAGCTCCTTTTCCAGCACAGCAGTGCTCAGTGTGGCTGTGCATTGGACTCACTTAAAGATTTAAATAACGAATGTTCTGATCTTACCTCAAGATATGCTCTAATTTAGTAGGTCTGGGATAGGACCTCAGAAATCCATGGTCTAAATATTTCTCCTGTTATTCTGATGTGCAGAATCACTGAGGCCAGAAATGATAGGACTACCCAGTGCATAGATGTGGCTCTGCTGGAGTCTCACTGTGCCTCAGGAGTGGGCAGTGTAGGAAAGACTGTCCCCATTTACAGAGGAGAAAACTGAAGCTCTGAGAGGTTACGTTAAGTTGACCAGGGTTACTTGATTCATTAGTGATAGGGCTGGGGACTTCAGCCAGCATTCTGAGACATCCTGCATGCTCAAACTAGGATATGTTTGTTAAAGTGGGGAATGCTGAAAAATAGGATTTAAAAGGCTAAGAGCACAACACAGCTTTTCTGAGGGAAGGGATATATTTGCATGTGACATCCTGATTGGCTGACCCTGTTCCCACTTGCAAAATAGGTTGGGCCTGAAGAGAGGGAGGATCAGGGATGAATCCCTTAGGTTCTGTCCATGAGGTCTCTGGAGGACCCTCTTCCCTGTTGCCAGGTGACTCACATGAGTTTACCTCTGGGCCTCCCAGGCCTACAGGGTAGAAACAGGTGACCCACAGGGACATGAGGTGGTGTTTTTCACTCTCTTCAGGGCCTAGCAGGGCCACTTGCTCACTGTGCATCTGCAGGGCAGGTATTGGCTCTGGACCTCAACTTCCCTACCAGTAAAACACAGGATCTGAGTGTTTAGATCTCTCTAGCCTCTTCCAGGCTTGGGGCTCAGATCCTGGACACCCCCACCAGAATGCCCTATTGGATCACCTTTGGGGAAGGAGCACAGTGAAGGAAGTTACTTGAGACTAAGCATCATTTGTCTGAGCCTCCTGCATTGCCCTGGGACTAGTTATTATCCCTAACTTGCAAATGGACTTAGAGTTAGGTGACCTTAGTTCCAGTCTGGCCTTGTATTTGACTCACTTGAGATAAGTTCAATACATTAGGTACCCAGTCCCCTGCCCTTGGTGGTAGTGGTGGTGGTGGTGGTGGGACATCTCCAAGACTGATGGGAGAGGCACACAGTCACAGGAATACACACAGTGACACTATAGAGCGATTTATATGGTAATAAGGGAAGTCTCAGAGCTATGGTGCCCAGATAGGACCCCAACAGAACCTGAGTTTCAAAGAGAGTGATACTTAGTTGAATCTGAGAGACAAATTAGGTAGCTGAATGAAAAAAGGTTGGAAAGGCATCTCGACCAAAGGGAAATGGAACAGAGATGTGAAACACGATGTGTGTTTGGAGAATTCCCCTTTACAGCAGACTTCGTGAGATGTGTCATGACATGTTGATTTCATCCCTCACTCTTAACCATTCTTCAGCCTCCCATAGTCTGGCTTGTTCCCCCACTCACTCTTTTGAGAAGTGTTTTTTTCAAGGTCACCTACAACTTCCAAATTGCCAAAACCAGTGGCTTATTCTCTTGGCATTGGCCAAGAGGGTAGACAGAAGAGCATATTTAGAAAATAAAATCATGAGACCTATTGGCTGATGTGATGTGGCAAATGAGTATGAGATGATAACAGTGGCAGTCTGCTGTCTTGGTTTGAGTGCATGGTGGTGGCACTCAGAGAAAAGCATTTGTAGAAGAGCAGGTCTGGGGCCATGAAAGCATGATGAAATAACATAAAATTTAAGACACCTGGACTTTTAGTGAGAGTTCCATTCAGGTATGAAGCCCAGTCAGACATACAGAGGGGAAGGGGGCTAAAAAGAAGAAGCCAGGGGAGACGGGGATCCTGCTTCCTCTCCAGTTCTGTTCCCCCATGGGTAAAATGAGGGGTTTGGATTAGGAGCTTCCATTTCCATTTAATTCAGATGTATTTATTGGTTCTTGCTATTCACTAGGACCTGCTGGTGGCACAAATAAATCGGAGTCCTTGCCTATAGATAGCTCACATTTTGGGTCCAGGCGGAAAGGCCAGGAAGAAGGATAAGGATCAGGAGGCACAAGCATAGTCCATAGAGACCTCAGGAGGAAAGGATTCTTCCTGAGACCAGAAGGGCTTCCCGGAGTGGATGACTTTTGAGTTAGGCTTTGAGGGGTTGGTAAAATCTAATAGGGGAGGGAAGAGGGCGTTCCTCCTTCCTAGAGAGAACACTGACCATTCTTCTCTGAGCTTCCATACCCAGCTCGGTGGTAATGTGGAGATGATAATGCCTGCCTTAAGGACTAGAGGAGGTAACACACATAAACACCTACCTCAGGATCTGGTACATGGTGGATGCTCGATAATACTTTAGTTACTTCCCATCCCTACCTTCCTCCCCATTCCTTCCTCCCCAATCCCCTTTTATTTCCTGGGCCTGGGGCCTGGCCAGTTTCCCCTACCTGTGACTGGGGAAGAAAAGAAGAAAAGTGTACCCAGGGTTTCTCTAAGTGGGACCATGGGAGAGCTGCTAGCAAATATTAGACTATCTATGAAGAAAAGTTGGGAGCCTTGTGGAATTTCTCATCAGAGGAGTGCCAGGTAAGAGTCCAGGGCAGGAAAATGGCATCACTGGGAGCTGGATGTAGGGGCTGAAGTTTTAGAGGACAAGGACCATGGGCTTTGTGGGGAAGCCAGCTCACTGGTTGCTGGGGACTCATTTGTAAACTTGGGGAAGTGGCTTCAGGAGCCCAGGGGATCCAAGCTGGGTGTGGGGGGATAGGGAACAAAACCTGGGCCAAGGAGTTTCTGGGCAGCTAACCAGCAGGGTTCCCCAGGTGCGCGTCTACAGCCCCTACCAGGACTACTATGAAGTGGTGCCCCCGAACGCGCACGAGGCCACATATGTCCGCAGTTACTATGGACCTCCCTACGCGGGTAAGTTTCCTAACTGGCCTGCCCCCCGAGGTCCATCATTCAGGACCAGACACCCCAACCCCCTTTTAGGGACCATGGATTTTTCCCAGGCCGGACCCTCTGCAAGGCCCTCCCCATCCCGAGGCTCAGAATAGCTCTTGGACTCAGTGCCTCTCTGCACTCCAGAGCTGACCTCACCACTCCAGGCAGGTCCCCATTTGGCCTGCGGCGCAGAACCTGTTTCTGAGTTGGTAGCGACCCCTGGTGGCTAATGCAGGAATGGTCGCGGCCTCCGGCTCTTGGTCTGGCCACTGGGAACGCCCATCCTCAGGTGGGGTCTGGAGGTTCGCAGAGATTCTGGGGTTTTCTCGCAGTTCCACCTTACCCCCAAGGTCATAGAATGTCAGTAGTAGGTCCAAAGCCTGGAAGCCGAGGGGATGGAGCGCACACACTTTCTGAGTCAAAGCCTCGGTTTCTCCAATTGGGGAGGAGAGTGGGTCCCAGAGCCTTATCTTGGATTGGGCTAGAGTAAAGCGGGAGGGGGACATAACACCTTTCTGCCCTCTCTGGAGTCACCAGCCCTCACGGCTCTCTCCGCAGGCCCCGGCGTGACGCACGTGGTAGTGCGAGAGGATCCCTGCTACAATTCAGGCGCTCCGCTGGCCATGGGCATGCTCGCCGGGGCCGCCACGGGTGCAGCGCTCGGCTCGCTCATGTGGTCGCCTTGCTGGTTCTGAGCCCTGGGACTCGGATTATGGATCCTGCGCACAGATCCAACAGACCCCCTTTTCCTTCTGGGCCCCATCCTCCGCCATCCAAGCCCTGCCTCACTTTGGCCACTTCCTCTCCATTGGCCTGTTCTGGGCTTAGATCATCCCTCCCATTCCCTACCTTTACCCCCCACATCGGAAGAAGCTATCATTCAGACACAAGCATAGCTCAGAATCCTTATATTTACTGCCAGACACCCCAGGAATCCATAATAAAAACATATGGATGTTAACCCCCAAACATACCAGGACAAAGAAAACAACTCAGTGGCTTCCGGTTACCTTGGTGCTGGAGATACACGAGTTAGCTTCTTTCCTCCGCTATTCTAGGATTGGTGGAGAAAATAAGAGTAAACAAACACTTGACAAGGTGGAGTTATCAGTCCTTTGACATATGAGGGCAGAGAAGAAGGTAGGCTAGGAGTAAGATTGCTGGCAGGAGTGTAGAGCTGTGAACATCGTGGCATATCCAAGGAATTTAAAGGAGTTAGGTTGCGCTGGGGTGGGAACAAGGATCAGAACATGACAGCCCTCCAGGCTAAGGAGCTTGCTGGGTAAGGGGGAGATGTAAACTTTTTTGGAGGGAAGTTTCATGGTTACACCTATAATGAATATATTGCTTGTTTTGTTAATACTGCCAGTACCCAAACCCAAAACACTCCCCGAGTTTAGCCCCATCCTTCCCACTACCAGCTTCCTGGGTCCCGTTCCTTCAGTGCTCAGAATACCTGTTTGCTATGTAAGGGTGCCTGGGGCAGGATTTGAGCTGAAGCTGGGGGGGCAGGTAAGCTGTTTGGAACCTCTAGCCCCAGGAAATGCATTTCTGGTCCCCAGAACCTTGGTCCTCTGTCCATAGTTGCTGTCACCATCTCATGCTGTCTCTTCATATCTGGGGGAGATGGCAGTGTTCACCTTGGGGGCCTGATCCACCTCTGTCCCAATCCAGGAAGCCCCACATGGGCCTCCCTGCAGGTTTCCCCATGGGGTCCCCCTCCAGTCTCTCTCTTATCCTGTCCCAATCACCAGTAGAAATGCTAACATCCCTGCCCAACAGCCAGAGTAGCCTGCTAAAGTTCCCTTGTAATAGGGGTCCAGTGGCCCTGCTGTGGAGACTAATAAAGGTGTGTAGTTGGCTCTAGCCTTGGCTCCAGTTTTGTTCGTTCTCCCATGGGGCCCTACTTCCCTGGGACATCTCCATGACTCAGCATCTACTAGTACCTTCTCTGGTATAGTAAAAAAAATGTGGATTCTGAGGTCAGGTAGAACTGGTGATAGCATATTAGCTGAACAATTTGGGACAAGTCACTTAACATTTCTGGATCTTGCTTTCCCCACCCAAAAGGTAGCAGGTTGAAGTTGGCCATCTCTGGGGCTCAAGAGAGCTGCATCAGGGTCTCTGTCATACGAACTGATGTATGATCCAGGCCATGCCCTGTCTGCTTTCTGAGAGTCCTGTGGTGTTGAGATATTTTCCAGAAGGTTCCTATTCTTCTAGAGTTAAAACAATGAGTTAGTCTCATTGAGACCAGGTGGGCTGGGGAAGTAAACAATGAACAATCTTGCATGAGGGTGCAAGGGCCAGAAACCCCCTGCTCACACTGATTTAAGACAAAGAGGTAAAACATTGGGCCACATAAGTAAAATGGTCGGTTCAGGGACTCAAACGGCATCACTTTGACTTTTGCTTTTTTTCCATCTTTATGGCCAGTGGGTTAGCTCATTCAGAGGCAGCAGTGATATTTAGCAGCTCCAGACTAATGCCCAAGTTGAGCAAAGAGAGCTTCTCTTTCTCCAATACTGTCAATAAAAGTCCTGGCACTAACGGCCAGTAGCCTACATTGGGTTCTGTGGCCACCTTTGAATCTACGTGATCTGGAAAAGATGGTCTAAAAAACAGGGCTTAAACAAAGGTTGGGGTGGTGTCCCAAAGGAAACTTAGAGCACTATTCCCAGAATTGGATGAAAAAATGAGAGTTGGGTGGCAAAAACATCAGCTATCCATCTTAACCATATTCCCAGAAATACCAATATAGAAGAAGACATAAACAATGAAGTGCAGTGGGAGCTCTGAGCAGGATGTACCCAACTCTGCCAAGGAGACTGGGGAAACCTTTGGGACAGGAAATGTAAAGTTATGGTGAGCCTTGAAGGATGATTAGGAGTTTGCCAAGCAGGAAATGAAGGGGGAGCTTTCCACACAGAAAGATGGAAGAAATGGCATGAACAAAAGCCTTAGAAGAACCCATTGGCCTTGAGAGCACTGTGAAGTTCAGGACATAGTCTGATGTCACAGCAGGTTGTGTGGGGAAGAGGGGGTGGTGGATGGAGCCAGGTCATGAAGAATCTCCCACAGCTGGTTTAAGGGGTCTTTTCTCTGTGTGCCTACAGCCTTAGGCCTTCCATTTGTCATGGTCCTAAAGACACCACGGTTCTTTCCACTCACCCCACTGCACAGGGCAAGGGGGATGCAAATGGATACTCTAGATGCAGTTTGCATCAAAATCTTGCCACTAATAGAATTACAACTTGAACTTTTTATCTTCTAGCTGTCCAGTACACAATTATTGAATTATTCACACACTCATTAAGCAAACATTAATTCTCACAGACAACACAGCCTACATACACAGGTGACCTATGGACACATCTGACCTCACATTTTTGTTTGGTCAACACAGTGCTGCTGAAAAGTTCTCAATTAAAATGTGATACCGGAGGCAGAGCCAACATGGCGGCGTGAGTAGGACAGTGGGAATCTCCTCCCAAAAACATATATATTTTTGAAAATACAACAAATACAACTAATCCTAAAAGAGAGACCAGAAGACACAGGACAACAGCCAGACTACATCCACACGTGGGGGAGCCCAGTGCTTGGTGAAAGGGGTAAGATACAACCCCCGGCCCGCCGGGACCCGAGCATGCCTCCCCCCAGCTCCCGGCGGGAGGGAGAGGGAGCCCAGGACTGCTAAACACCCAGCCCCAGCCACCCGCACCAGAGTGCAGACAGTGCAAGCGTGGAGGGCTGGAAACTAGGGAATCAGGGCAGCAAGACCTCTGAGCGGGTTCCAAAGCTGATGCCCCTGTGACAAAGAAAAGCGAGTGCTTTTTGAAAGTCTTAAAGGGACGTAACAGCTGGATAGAAATAACACAGGTCACAGCCCAGTGGCTAGAAATTAC